ATCAATTCACTTTACATGATTGGCTCTCTTTCATCTTTAGTCGAGTTCTCCAAGAAACGTAATAGACCTTGCGTCATGTCAGCACAACTGTAATGTCACATAACTGTTGTTCCCACAAGCAGTATAGCATTACTTTTCCGTACTGTGCACATATCAATTAGGAAAAAAGTAGAGTTCTTGTTATATATACTTCTGAAATGATTATGCTAGTTATATTTGTATGTTATTAACCTTGTATGGTGGCATGCACCTTATGTCATAAATTCACATTTTTAAATGTTGTGAAAATATCTAATTTCACATTAGAAATTTAACACTTGCTTGCAACACTAAAAAGTAATAATGTGTGAGGCCATTGACTGGCACTTTATCTTTTCCACAAATCATTCAAAATTCTGAGAATGAATTAAAACCTTAAAAATTGTGCAATTACATAATTCACGATCATGACCAAATTATCGCTTGCATTCTCTTTGATTGTCTTTGTTAAAGTTTTTACTTAAAGGCTCACCTCTTGTTTAAAAAAATTAGACTTAAACATGATGCTCTGCCCCAAACCAGGCCTCTGTTGCTTAAGGCAGATTGTGCTGTTTGATTATGTGCAGTGCATCCAATTTCCCATGATGCGTCAGCAACATTTACTGAGCTGAACCATAAGAACATTCTTCAGCATCTAGCAATTTTTCAATAACTGTGCAGAAAAAGGTGTTTTTGTAATAAAAATGGAGTGTGCATCTGTAAGGAATTGAAATGTCAAGCTCGTTTGAATACAATTCTGTTATAGATCATATTTTGCATTCTTTTTAAGTTCAGAAAGCTTATCAAAGACACGGAGTGGCTTTTTCCCCCTCAAATTGCCACCCAAGTATAAAATTGGAGTTGCAGATTTGTACAAATGGGAACGAACGGACTGATTTTCACTTTTAAATGTATTTAATGGAAAATAAAACTATGATATCTTTATAAATGAACAACTGATCCAAAATGCAAATTTAAACCTAGCAATAAGTTGAAAATCCACTTAAGTGGCTTTCCCTATCTCAATAGGTGTTTATTTAAAATAGCAAAGTTTTAAACAAATGGAATGCCTTCTATTAAGAGCTGCTTATCATCTGAGTTACTGCTGACCTGAAGCACAAAGTGTCAGACAGAGATGATGGAAGGAGAGATTTTTCTCATCTTAATTTGATTTTTTGAATTGAACAAAAGCTGTTAAATTTTGAAAGCAAAAAAGAACAGCCAGAGTTAATCACCTAATTAGTACTGATATTGATTTTAAAATATTTACATTTTCATCATTCCATCAGCCATACGCTGAAGGAAATAAAAGAATGAGGCAAGTACTCAGCAATGACTGCTCACTGATGCTCAGTTTGATATCTGCTACAGCCACTCAGCTCCTAACCTCATTACCACCTTGGTCCAATATAGATGAAAAATCTGAATCAAGAGGTGAGGTGAGAGTGACTGCCCTTTACATCAAGGTAGTCCCAGTCAAATGCTGCCAAGAAGAGCTCTTATGAAACTGAATTCAATATGAAATAGGGAGGGGAGAGCGCTCAGCTCTAAGTCAGACCTGACAATAAGGAAGATGGCTGTGGCTATTGAAAGATAGCCACCTCAGTCCCAGGACATCACTGCAGGAAATCCTCAAGGTCCCAACCAATTCATCTACTTTATCAATGAACTTCCCTCTATCATAAGTTCTGAAGTTGGTACGTTTGCTGATGACTGCATAATGTTCAGCACTATTCATGACTCCACGGATACTGAAGCACTCCATATCTATATACAGCATGTCACAAACAACATCCAGACTTGGGTTAAGTGGCTAAGTAACATTCACCTTACACAAGTACCAGACGATGACCATCTGAGTTAAGAAAGAATCTAGTCATTTCCCCATGATTAGTAATAACAATACCATAGCTAAATTTCCCAGCAAAACATCTTGAGAACTGCATTTCATCAGAAACTGAACCGGATGAGCCACATAAATACCGTGACTACAAAAGTAGGTCAAAGGCTGGAAATTTTGTGGTGAAGAACTCACTGATCAACTCCCCAAAGCCTGTCCACTACCTACAAGGTACAAATTAGGAGTGTATGCAATTCTGTCCATTTAATCAATGAATACAGTTGCAAAAACACTGTAGAAGCTTGATATCATCCAGGACAAAGCAACTCACTTGACTTGCATCCATCAGTACCTTAAATATTCACCACCAAAACACAGTTCCAGCAGTGAAAGTCATATACAGTGTGCACAAGGCTCTTTCAATAGCACTTTCCACACCTGTGACTTTTTCCACCTAGAAGGACGGGGGCAGCTGATGTATGGGAATACAGCTTAAAGGGTCTCTCCAGGCCAAACACTACACTGACCTGAAACTATAAAGCTATTCCTTCACTGCCACTGCATCAAAATCCTGGAATTCCCTTCACAATAGCAGGGCAGGTGTGCATACACCACATGGACTGCAGCAGTTCACGGTGATGGCTAACCACCAACTTCCCCAGGTCTGTTGGGAATGGGCAACAAATGCTGACCTGGCCAGCAATAGCATATCCATTGGAAGAATTAAGTAAAAATGTGGCCACTTCCATGACTGCTGAACATCAGAAGATGCACTATATAATGTTAAGCTTTGTTACCTCCATCCATCTGTTTAATACCAAAACATTTCCTAAAGCCAAACCCCAAAAAGAAAGTAAAAATAAAAACTGCTGAGTTACAGGAAATCTGAAATATAAACAAAAATCAAATGCTCAAAACACTCACCAAATCATGCAGCAAGAGTAAAGATCAGCAGTGATTCATATCGAGACTTAGCTTTGGGCAGTAATTCGTATCTAGACCTGAAATGATTAATCTTCTTCCTTCCTGTGCAGAAATGCCTGATGCTGAGGTTTGCATTTGTGTCTTTAAGTACAGGACTGTTCTCCAAATAGAGCTAAACATGATTCTTTCTCCAGGGTTTCTAAATGTCTGAGATCTACCTGCAACTGGTACATCTATGTATTCTTGAATTTAAAAAGTAGCAAGGCATAAACAATCATTTTATAATGGAATAGTAAGTGAATTCAGATTTATGCGTTTCATAAAATTGCGGCAAGAATTCAATCAAAGCACCCCGTGACTCCCCCTCGTCCACTCCACACTCCCCACTAACCCCATCACACCTGGCACCTTTCCTTGTAACCACAAGTAGTACTACGCCTGCCCTACGCCTCATCCCTCCCCTCCATTCAAGGCCCAAAACAAACCTTTCATATCAGACAGGGGTTCACCTGTACCTCCGTTAACTTGGTCTACTGCATCCACTGCTCCCAATGTGGCCGCCTCTACATCAGTGAGACCAAGTGTAGACTTGGAGACCGTTTTGTAGAGCATCTGCGCTCTGTACACGAAAAACGACAATACCTTCTGATCGCCAACTATTTTAATGCCCCCCTTCCCACTCCATGAGTGACAAGTCCATCCTGGGCCTCATCCAGTGTCACAATGAAACCACTCGCAAACTGGAGGAGCAACACCTCACATTCTGCCTCGGGAGCCCACAGCCCTATGGCCTAAACATGGAATTCACCGGTTTTAAAATCTCCCCTCACCCGGCCTCATCCCATGTCCAACTCTCTCTCTCATCACCGCCTTCTTGATCAGACACAACCTGTCCATCTTCTCTCTCACCCATCTGCTCCACCCATCCCACTGACCAATCCTCAGCACTCTCTCCCTGCATTCACCAATAACCATCCCACCTACCTTCCCCAGCCCTACCCCTCCTCTCTCTATTTATTTCCCAGCTCCCTTCCCCCTCCCCATTTCTGAAGAAGGGTCCTGACCTGAAATGTCAACTTTCTTGCTCCTCTCACGCTGCCTGACCTGCTGTGTTCCTCCAGTTTCACACTGTGTCGTCTCTGACTCCAGCACCTGAAGTTCTTGCCATCTCAGAGTAAAAGTCTCAATATAATTCAATAAAAATGAAATTTGATTTACTTGGTTATGGGTCATAATGTGATGTCCTGCCTATAATAAAAATCTTCAACATTAAGATTTTATCCAATTACCCCAAGAAACCCAATAGCTCATCTACTGGTACTTAATCTAATGGCACTGTGACCATCTATAGTCCATGGTGCTTTTTTTTCTGGATTCATATACCAAAATTAGTTGGATTAAGCACCTGGCTATTATCGTCAGATTCATTACCTCCTGCCCAATGGTGTAACCATTTTCTTTTCCCCTCAATGAATATCTCTAACTAAATCATAGCTGTTTTGGTACTTGTCAATGGTATTGAATTCCCCTGCAACCACTCAACTTAGGGCTAAAGGGTATAATTACCATGTGAAATTGAGACTAGATTCTCATGTACTTGCGGATCATGCGGTTACAGAGACAAGCAGTGACGTAAGCATAATGTGAGCTGTGAATTTCCCCAGCTACAAAACAGCCAAACAGAAGGAATACCAACTTTGGTAACAAATTGAATGATTATTTTAATGTTGGGTGTAGGAAGAGTGATCAAAGATTAAATTGGAAGTGAATGGACATTTGACAGACATGAAGACAGAGGAGTTGTGAGAAGCATTAAATACAAAATAGAGTAGAAGAGAGATCTTTGAGGCATATCCAGAAGAAAAGTAAAGCATTCTGAAAAACACCCCATGAAACTTTTAATTATATTTTTTACATTTCAAGCAAAATTACACCAGCATATGTCATAATAAAAGTTAGCTGTAAATTTTGTTACATGAGGGAGGGAGAAAGAGGGAATGAAACTAAATATGTGCCAAGAGGTAGGAAAGACCACACAAACAGCAAATAGTTTGGGTACAGAATTAAATTCATCTGCATGTAAACAGAACACATTAACACCCTATATACCAGGGGAAGGATCTGTGAAGAATGCTTCTAAGAGACAGAGAAATGGGTAGGGAGATGCCCATCTACAGTAAGATCTGTTGAGAATAAACTATTCTTTCCAACTAGCATAACATTTGAACTTTAAATCTTTATTTTAATTATTTCAACAGACAAGCACTAAAATTGAATGTCACATTTTCTGTCCCCTATGAGGATGAAAAGTTCCAATCCAATTCTTTACTAAATACATAGGTTGGTTAACTTTTCTTTAAGAAAGGATATTGATAGGTGGTTAGAAACAGAACTGAGAAGTTTTCACATTAAAATCAATAATACTACCAGTCAACTTGAATACTATACCATTTAAAACAAAATACAGAGAATCCATTGAATCATTACATTATAGAGCTTTGAGAAATAATCCAAAATTGCAGACTTTTACAATCCATTGAAATTTTAAATAAGTCATTTGAATCTGTTCATATGAAAAAGCGAATTCATTCCCATTACATGTTGAGAGACCAATTTAGTTGCTACTGCCACAAAATGTATATTTTGGATCACAAGGAACAGAAATACTTGACAGTATATTAGAAATTTTCAGCATCCAATTTGAATCACTCATACTTCATTGCAAAAATCTCAATGTGTACATCAAATCAATACAATATACTAAATCTATGACAATAGTGCAGTATTTTCAGAAAAGCCAGTTGGTCATCTGTGCCTTAAATACAAAAAAATGTAATGCATATCAGCAAAATATAAAATCAGACCTCATCTGAAGTTTATTCGAAGAAATACTGCTCAAGATTTGTCATGTTTCCTAATCATTTTAAAGCCCCAAAAGGTTCTGATTTTGCACATACATAAGCTATATATCTCCAGTGCAGCTAATCTGCAATCTGTTTCCATAGTGCTTTTTTATTGCTGTAAAAATATCATCATAATAATATGAAAGGTCAAGATTAATATCACTTTCCCTTGAAAAATTTCAAGGATCTATAGGAATAATGATCACACAATGAAACAATATTCGATATTGTTAGAGATTAAAATATACATGAAAATATGAAATTGCTGCAAAGGTTAGACATTTCTTCAAACCCCCAAAATGATAAAAACTGTAGATGAATTAGAAGCTATGCTATATCCAAATTATTTTAAATAATTGAACCATAAAATGCAATCTAAAATGGGCATGCTACTAAAAGATATAGCAAATTATAGCATACAAAATGCCATCCAATACATATCTGTGCCAGCATTTTGCTATAGAAATCTGAAACCAAATCTGAAACCATAGTACTGCCCTCTACCCATAGTCCTATACAGTACCCTTCCTAAAATATCCTCCGAGGTTTTCCTTCTTTTAAAAGGTCCCTGTTTCACCCACTAGTTATAGCAAAGTATTGCATACTCCTGAAGCCCTCTGCCAAAGAAACTTTTCCCAATGTTTCTCCTACCTCTTTGCAATTATACTAAATTGATAATCCCTCACCATTGTCTCCAAAAAACAGTAAATTGCCTTAATATATTTATTTTATCATACCACTTCTGAGCCTTTAAAAACTTAATTGAATCTCCCTTCAGTCTTCGTTATCGCGATAGGAACTGTTCCAACACATTAATTCTCTCCCAATAACTGTGTACAACATCGTTGATACTGCCCTGTTATGGTTTATATACCCTTTTTTTGAGAGAGGCTGCTCAAAACTGCAATGTTCTAACGGTGATTTCTATAAATCCAGTATGTATAAATAATGCTTTAAATTATGTAAAAATATCAATTGACCACTTTTATAGCTTTAACTATATAGCGGAATTTTCAGAGAATTGTGATGTTTTAATCCTGTCTTCAACCACATTTTCAGCTTTTTTTCATTAAGTGCATACTCCTACTCTGCTTTATTTTAACCTCCGAACCTCATAAATATCACTGTAAAGTACACATTTCGCTCATTGGTCTATTGTTAACCAGCTCATATCTTCTTGGTCTTTTACAAATTGCGTGTCGTCCGTAAAGCCAAGATCAGCTGTACGTGTATACACAGAACAAAGCTGGAGCGAACGCTGACGACATAACTGACTTACTTCCAACCCTTTCTGAATTCCCATTTGCTCTGGCTGTTTACTACCTGCCTATTAACCAATTTTCCATTTAGGCTGTTACAACGGGCCATTTGAAAAATATGGGAGAATTCTCGAATAGTCAGAAAATGCTTCCAAAGCGCTGTATTTTCAACGTACTCATTCTTAATAGATTGCGTACAATCCTGCGCCCTTTCACATCACCCTTGCTGTATATGCATTACCTTTTCCACGTGTGGTTTTTCTAATCGCTCTTCTCGACGTCTCTCACAAAACATTTAAAAATAATCCATCTACTATATTCCGTTAAATGTCTATTCACGCATTTCTTCATAAAAGCATGCCCTAATACCCGAGATTATCTGTAGTATCATCAGTCTAACTAACAATAACTCAACATGAAGCTTATAATCGGTTTCCTGTATCTATCCACAGAACGCGGTCATTTGACTCATCCTCCTTTTTGCCTTATGTGACTAGTTATTTTGCACTCTATACGTGTCACATTTCCTCTAAACCGTTTGTGGTTTTTTTATTGCTCGATTTTGGGCTGCATTCCTTCCCATCTCACGGAAAATACCATGTTCAGCCCACCGCCCTAATCTGGAAGACGTCATTATCTTTTTGAGTGGCAAAGTTGTTCTCATCGTCAGTTTCGTCTTCTTCCTCGAGCGTCAAAACTTCACACAGTCGACATTTACCACAGCTTCACTGTCAGAAGCTTGAGGAAATCACAACCCTCTTTACAATTTTTTCTGAAGAAGGGTTCAGACCCGAAACGTCAGCTTTCCTGTTCCTCTGATGCTGCCTGGCCTGCTGTGTTCATCCAGCTCTACACTTTGTTACCTCTTTACTCATCATCAGGTCTACTAAAGACGGCCGGATAAAACCAGTCAATTTGAATACACGCACAGCTCAATAATCCCAACTACACATTTCAGAACAGCTGGTTTTACACAACTAAATTATACATGTTAATTCTTAAAAGATAACCCCAGTTTGGTGAAAATAACGTGGCCTATTATTAGGTATTTCACTACACTCCAGTCGGTATAGATGTTTTCTAATTAGCCCGTTCAAAGATATTATTACACACTTCTGGAGCAGGTCGGACTTGAACCTGAGCCTCCTGGCTCAGAGCTAGGGACATTGGCACTGCTCTAAAAGTCGAATTGGACTTTATATTCCAAGGCAGTCTTCCATCCAAATACTAACCAGGCCCGAACTGCTCAGTTTTTCAGGCCAGTGTGGCCGTCAGCTCTGTGTCTGTATACATTTATTCTCACGCAGAAACGCTTTACAGATATTAAACTGTAATTGTCAATGTTTGTTGCTTCAGTCAAAGCAGCTTCTTTAAATGAAAATCTAACCAAAGATCGCTTCGAATATAAAACAATAGCATCTGGAATTTAGGATGTTCTTCGTAAACTGATTAAAAATCTCTGTTGGAGATTTTTGTTTCACGATTTTGCTTTAAAAGGACAGGGGCTGAAGGTTTAGGAACGAACAAACATTCGTTACTTTTACCAAAGGGATTGGAGAGAATCACTGTTTCTAACCAGATTCTTCCTATAATTGTAAATTAATCAAAGAATGTCACTTGAAATCTGCCGTTCGACATTCTTAAATCGTGCTGTCTCTTTTTTTTTCTTCTGTAACTGGCGACTTATTAACCCGTAGTTCTGACAGCGTCTTCAACAGGGTTGAGTACTGAATGAACATCATTGTCACATAATCGCATGTCTGTAGTGTTCTGTGACTGAACAGACTGCCAACAGCCCGCGCCATTGTACTTCGATGGATCGCAGATTGTCCAACAGGCAGTATCCACTCATCATAACGAATGGACTCAGAATGATTCCAATAATATCTACTTTATTGCTGGTCCGTAAAAAGTTAATCATTGCAGCTGTCTGTAATGCGCACTACTCTGTATGTAATTTTATATGTTTTGTTGTGGTATCCCAATAATTTACTTTTAATGCCGCGGGCGTAAATTTAAAATTACCCGATTCCCATCGGCAAATATTGGTGGTATTACATGATATTTCCTCATGACAAGATCGAGCGATTTTCAAACATGACAATTCAAATAGCAGGACCGTTAGAACATCCATTTCTTCCATCAGAGATAGTAGGAACTGCCGATGCTGGAGTCTGAGGTAACAAGGTGTGGAGCTGGAGGAACACAGCAGGACAGGCAGCATCAGAGGAGCAGGAAAGCTGACGTTTCTGAAGAAGGGTCCAGACCCGAAACGTCAGCTTTCCTGCTCCTCTGATGCTGCTTGGCCTGCTGTGTTCATCCATTTCTTCCATTAGTTCTTACTGTTAGGAATAACAGAAATTGCTGGAGCAACTCGGGTCTGGCAGCATCTTTGGAGAGAAAGCAGAGTTAACGTCTCCAGTCCAGAGTCCAATCTGATTTCACCGGTAATTTCTGTTTTTGTTTCGGATTTCCAGCAGCCGCAGTTCTTTGTTTTATCCTACTTTTAGCCAGTGATTATAATAACTATCATAATAGTGAGCACTGGCAATGCTCAGACTTAACGTAACGATTTGATCAATTGCTTCCCGATTCACCCACTGCCCAAGTTCTCTTAAACACCTGACCAAAGCCGAACTGTTTGAACAGAGCAGGCTAAGTCCTATCAATCGCCCCTTTCTCTCACAAACTATTCGATATTCAATCCTAACGTTAGACATAAAACGGGGCCAAATTATCTTAACGATCTAATCCAACAACGATAGGAAGGCATCAAATAACAGTACAACATCTGCATTTCTAAACTAAACGAATTCAATTTTTAAACTTTTCATTTTATTGACGATCTAATTCATCATAAAAAGTCCGCTGAAAATAAACAAGAAGTTGCAGCCACGTGGAAAAACTATTAATACCGTCCATCACCATGTCTCTTCAGGATTTTGTGGAAAAGTGGTTTCTCTTCAGTAACGCATGGTCAGAACCTACGAATATATTCTACGCTTAACAATCGTGTTTCTTAATGAGACTGCGGTTTCAAGGAATTTGGGATTAAATTCGATTGCCGTCGAAACCGGGCTCGGGGATTAATATCCACCTACAGCCTGGAAGGCAGGCCGTTTTATATAACTGCGGCGCTCAGACGGCAGAATTTTCCCAAGTACAGGGCGATTCTGATCAGCTGTACCATATTAAACAGGACAACACAGGATCACGTTCTGCGCTCGCCATGCCTGCGACGACCATGATGCCAGTCTAAAACAATGCCTTCTGGCTGCGCATGGTTTGTATCTGTTAAAGCGAGCCTGTACCTTTTAAAGGGAAGGTGCACAGTAGCTGCAGTTGGTGATAGGAATGCTTTGACAGCTGAACCTAATGAGAAAACTAGAAGAATGGCACATGAGAGAACAGGGTTCAAGGTTTTCAGACTGTACAGAAAACTGTGCTGCAGGCAGGTTGCAGAAATGACCAAGGATCTGCAGCAACCTAGGAGATCCTCCAAACAACACTCCAAAATTTGTGGGAATAGACAGCTCTGGAGGTTAACATCAGGACTTAAAACACTAGGACCTGGATGTAATGCTGCAGGAAGTTCAACCACCTCACACCAGTGATCAAGATCACTGAATGGATCTTCAAATGCTGTACATTTTCAACTGCTCAAAAGCATCTGACAATCTTCAATTGACAAGGGCCCTATCATTCATCTACAGTCTTCAAACAGGACTCACATTATCTTTTATAGATTTTAAAAAAACTAAACGATGCAGAGATGTTCTTATACACCTCTTGAACCCAGGACTCCTGGTACAGAGGCACACTTTGACCTGCTACAGCCTCATGCCCACACCTCAACATACACACACTTACAGGTTGATAACATCAGCCAGACAAATTGCACAACACTGATGAATTTCCCTCTCTCTTACAAGACATATGAACATACATACGATTTGAGAAGCAGTAGGCCTTGTAGCCAGTTGAGACTTTTTTTTAAAATTCACTCATGGTATACAGGCATTGTTGGCTGGCCAGAATTTATTACCCATCCCTAGCTGGCCTTGAACTGAGTAGCTTGCCAGGCCATTTCGGAGGGCGGTTGAGAGTCAACCACATTGCTGTGGGTCTGAAGTCACATGTAGGCCAGACCAGATGAGGATCGTGGATTCCCTCAGTGAGTCAGGCAGGTTTTTTCTGTCAATTAGCAATGGCTTCATGGTCATCAATAGATTCTTGATTCCTGATTTTTAAAAAAAATTCAAATTCCACTATCTGCCATGGCAGGATTTGAACCTGGGTCCCCAGAACATTATTTTAGTTTCTGGATTAATAGTCTAGTGATATACTACCAGGGTCATCGCCTCTATACCAATCAATAAAGACTACAGCTGATCTGACTGTAACCTCAAATCCACATTCCCACAAACCCTCCATAACCTTTCAAAAACTTGTTTAAGAGGACTCTATGTACCAACACCTAAAAAATTAAATAGTGATACCAAATTTAGATTCTTCAACAAGAGGAAACAACCTCTCTGCATGTACCCTGTCAAGATTTCTTGTTTATATTTCAATCATCACCTCTTACTCTTCTAAACTCCAACTGATATAAGCCTAGTCTGTTCAATCTTTTCTCATAAGACTAGTCCAGTAAATCATGTCTGAATTGCTTCCAAATGATTTACAACCTTCCTTAAATAAGGTGTCTATAACCAAAGAGCAACCTCCCAACATTTGTATTTGGTTCACCTTGCGATAAAAGGTAACATTCTATTAGTGTTCCCAATTACTTTCTACACATTTAACTTTTTGTGGTTGATGCATAAGGATAACTAGATCCATCTGCATCTCAGAGCTCCACAATCTCTCACGATTTAGATAATATGCTTCTTTTTTCATTCTACCTCCCAAAATGAACAATTTCACATTTTCTACACCATACCCCACTTGCCACATTTGTGTGTTTTTGGAATCTCCTTGTATCCTTTTTACAACTTACTTTCCTACCTTGTCATTAACAAATTTGGCATCATAACTTGTGCCAAAACCCCATTTATCCAAGTCATTTGTATAAATTGTAAACAGTTGACGCGATAGCACCAATCTCTAAGGCACACCACTTGTTATATCTTGTCAACCTGAAAAAGACCCATTTATCCTTACTCTCTGCTTTCTGTTAGCTAGCCAATCTTCTATCCTTACCAGAATTTATATCCTACAATTACTTTTAACGCAGCCCCTTACCAAATGCCTTCTGGAGACTGAAGTACAGTATATCCATAGCATGTGTATGTCAACCATATTAACTCGGTCTGATTACCTTGAACATATCCAAGTGCCCTGCTGTAAATACATCAATGACAGTTTTGAACACGTTCCCTATGACAGATCTTAAGCTAACTGGCCTGTATTTCTGTCTTTTTGCTTCTCTCTTTTTGAATAAAGGAGTTACATTCACTTTCTACCAATCTAAAGAGAGTATCCATAAAACCAGAGAAACAGGCCCACCTACATAACCTGACCTTGTGAAGGAGAATGTTCTGGCCATTACTGAAATGCCCACACTGAAGCAAGGCAGAGCTGGTTTTGAAATTATTGAAAATGATGGTATCCTCATATCTTATATTCATTCTCCTACCCACATCTAATCCTATCAAGCATCTAATCCTTTCAAGCATCTTAGTGCTAGCCATCTTCACAACATGGTAGCTAATGGCTGATGCTGCAGCTTATGCCAGAGGTCCGAATGCTGCAGTGAAAATTCAGCTTCTATCATGCAAGTACAGACTACTGATATACTGATTTGAAGGAAGTCACAACAGTCCAGCAATCTGCCATCCAATAATGTCCATCCAATAATGTCCAAGACTTGCAACATGCTTCATGGTGGAAATAGCAGTGGCTCTACTGAGAAATAACCTGATGCCCTTTCTCAGAAAGGCAGCATTTGTACTCTCATTGCTGTCACTCCATACATGCTAGATGTTGCCCATCAGCCAGTCAATTTGGACTGCTACCACCAAGTAGACATAATGCAGTAAGCAGCTGGGCCTTCCAGACCTAAAGTTTCACACGGTTGTCCTTGTACGTTATCTGCAATCTCCTCTAGTGGTGGAAAGCTGCTGGCTTTTCAGACATGCAGTGTGAAGTAGACCACCAGGAGTCTGGACATTCACTCAACCAGACTGGTCAGCGGACAGCCCAGCAGCCCCACCCCACCACCCAGTGTATTTATGTCTATTATATTTTCCTGATCTCATCACATATCTTAATGTTGCACCTAACTTGGATGTTATCTACAAATTTGGATATACATTATTTCTTTTCCAAATGATTGCTACAAAAAGGTGAAAAACTGCTTTTCTAAAGTAGACCCCTGCACAATACTCCTCACCCACCTGCCATCTAGAGATGGAACCTTTTATCCCTATTTTATCTCCTTGCTCCCAATCAATTATGTCATATGATTACCTCCTATTCAACTGCACTAACTTTTGCACTTTATCCCTTTTTCACAAACTTGTCAAATATCTTTTAGAGGGATGGCCTAATTGGGACTATGTCGCTGGGGACGAGTTGGACCGAATGGTCTGTTGGGATGTCTGTTTGGCACAGAACAGTTGGACTGAAGGTTCTGTTTCCGTGCTGTACAACTCTATGAGTTTCTGTAAGTTCATGTAGATAATATCCAGAAAATCACCTCTCCATCATGACATTATCTTAAACAAAATCAACTAGATAAGTCAGACATGACCAAGCCTTCACAAATCCATTCCAGCTTTGATCAGGTGATACTTGTCCTAGAGTTCAGTTACTCTGACAAATTAGTGACTTCCCTCCAATATCTAACTATAGATCCTAATTACTGTTTAAATAGATCTATAGTTTCCTATCCCATCGCCCCCACCACTCCCTCATTTCTTAATTAACTGGAAGGCATTTAGAGAGAATTCCAAACTTTGGAAAGATTGTACCTTCCTGAATTGTTTGATATCTTCGAAATTATCAAGACTTTGCAAACTGCATTTTAATTCATATTTTCTTATTCAACTTTTACTCGCTAAATCCACTCCTTGTTCCCTTGAAATCTTTAGGTTCCATTATACTGTGTACACTTCCATCAATAATAAAAGTACATGGCAAAATAAAAAGCTTGAATATACGTAGTGGTTTTCACAACCACTGGATTTTTTTTAAAGCCAAGGAAATATCTTTAAGTGTAATGACTGTAGAAATGTAGTAATGGCAATAGCTGCTTTGTACTTAATAAAATCTCACAAATAGCAGTGCGATAATGATATCAAATAATAATCTGTTTTTGGTGATGTTGATTGAGGGACAGATATTGGCCAGAACATTGGGGATAACTCCCTCGCTCTTCTTCAAAATGATGCCACAGGATCTTTTACCATTGGGATCTCACCATTAATATCTACCGATAAGTTGCACTTTTAACAGCGCAAAGTGCTCTCAGCACTACACTGGGGAATCAGGTTTGGTTTGTGTGTTCAGGACCTGGAGTAGGACATGAACCTGGACTCTTGTGTTTCAGAGGGAAGTGTGCCACCAACTGAGTCACACTTGACACACTTTGGTATTTTCTTTTAATTGTATATGCAACACACAGACTAACAGACTGAAAATGCTAACAAATTAACTTATAAATAGAGCAGACATTTCTATTCATTCGTATGACATTAGTAGGTGTGTTCCAGAACAATGTTCTATAGCAGTGTTAAGAACTTAAAACAAAACCTGAAAAATCTACTCACCCCAATGATTTTGGCATCCTAAAGGGAGACTGTATATTTGAGGTTTGAATAAGGAAACCCAAGTTTTCATCACTGACTGATCAAAGCTCATTAAAATCATCGCAAAATGGACATTAATAGACATTGTGCTAAGAAATAGAAAGTTATGGTTCTATGCACCATTCCTTGAAAAAAATGAGGTACAGTTATCCCATCTTGAGATAAGATTTTTTAAAAATGGTTTCTAAAGTAAAAAGAGGCTCATCCTTTTAGGTCACCATTGTGGATTTTCCAAAATGTCTTCCAAGTTCTAGTATTATTCTTTATGGTTCTTGCAATATCAAGTTGACTGATGACTAATAATAGGAATTAAGGACATATTCTGGGGACTCAAAACAGTCTCAACTAAAGAGAAACATGACTGACACCTATCCCTGTCCACCTCTGGTTAACCAAAGTTTTCAAACCTCACACGTTCAGCTCGAAATTGGGTTGAAACTACCCAAATTTCTTTCACAAACTTTTTCCAGTCAACTCAAGGTAACTTGCAACCTGGCAATATACATTTCCACATCATAAGTTAAAACAGAAGTTAATCTGCACTAACTGCTCAATCTAGTAAATGTTTCCATTTTTATTGTCCAAATCTCTAGTATTCTATCTCCAGTTTGTAGCTGAGCCGTTTAAATCCAAGTTTGTACAGAATTTATCATTCTCTATCAGGTCATATTCTGGAACACTACATTTGACCCTACTGTGATAATCATATCTGTTACGTTATCACAACTAGACTGCATGGATTGTTGGGGAAGTCGTAGTCTATGTTCAACTTGATACTCACTGCATTTCAGTAGCCTATGCAAATATTAGCTTGCATATGAATGACGACTGTGGTGGGGACGAAGATGGGTGGGACAACACAATGCAACCAATCAAGGAAGCATTGTGTTGTCCCCAAGGAGAGGCAAAGGAAATTAACAAAAAAATCCAACTCTAGAAGCTTGTAATGTGTTGTCTTTTTAAATGCCCTGGTAGCAAAGATCTAAATTATGTACCTATTGTCTCACCAATGACAACGACAGTGGCAGAATTCCAGGGAACTACTAAAGGTGGATCAGTGAGCTGGTAAAAACAGACATATTACGATGTAAAACTCTAAATCCAGGGGCTACGTTTGAAATTATCTTGATTAGTCAGTATTAAAACATCTGGACCACTGTATTACAAGAAAAGTAAATCATCAACTGTCATGAGAAGGAAAGAAAAATGACTTAGCTCGTAAAGGGTGCAATTCTTGTCAATCATACAACTTAAGTTTGTTGGTGTTCATAGGTAAATCTATCGTTCAAACCATTACTAGAGAAAGACACATTAATACAGGAGATAAGTTTTTTTGCTATTGTCCTTCAGGAAGCATTTTGGCTAATCCCACGGACAGCAGAAAGGAGTACACATGACTATTTTCTTTGTAAATATTTTCTATTGTCGTTTATTACAACAATTGGTGTTTGAAAAACTCTGCTCTTGAATCATGGCAAGTTCCCTAATAACATCTTATTCAAATTTACAGGGGAGCACAACATGGAATTGTTTATTTGTTGCCTTCTCTTGCCGATTGCAGGCATAGCACTAATGTACAGTGATAAAATAACTGGGATTGGATCTATCCAAGAGTTTCATATGTAGATGCATGATATTCCATCTCATTCTATATAAAACCTAGCTCAAAACACAACTTTCAGTTTTCTTGCCTTGTTCAGTTGGAAGATTCTACTTTCTCAGTAGGATCAGTTTTAAATCATTGCTTTGGAATCTGATTATTCCAACTTGTGAAGTTTTGGCATCCTCAGTTTCTGTGTTGATATATTGCTTTTTCCAATTAAAACTGCTCCACTATATGCTCATACCAGGCTTCAAATATTGCACATCCTGTTGTGGCTTTGCTGAACACAAGTAGTTTTTTTGCAGGATGCACCTGAACTCACCAGGAGTCTGTCTTCAGTCCAAACCTAAAATGAAGCACAAACACTCCAGGTCAGAGAGATTCATCTAGCACGGAAAGAAATTGTAATTGGTTGTACCATCGACTGTTTCAACACCCATGAAATCAGGTTGTAACCTGTCTTTTATGAAGTATCAAGACTTTCCAATGACACCTGTTTTTTTTCCAGCTCTTGCCTCAAAAGCAGTGTAGATACATGGTATCGCAGTAATCTTAGCAGATGCTGAAGACAGCTTTGTATTGCATAATGCTGCAATATTTGTTTTTAAGTCTTCCATGATTGTTCCAACCACTATATTGGTCAGGAAGGTGTCATCAAGCAGAACCTCTAACCTGGATCTATAGTTGCCCTGGCTGACACTCATGAATCCCAGGTAGGTCTTGGACTTAGTTGCCTCTGATCTGACATATACATGAACCACGAGCAACATTAGAGGTTCTCTACATCGCCTTGAATTATCTTATGGGGAACGTTTTGTCTGAACCAGACCTAAAATTGTGGAACTCTGGCAAGTTCTTGGATGAGTACCACCTCCATTGAAATCATCCACCAAGAAAGAATTAAACTTGATATTATTATGGAAACTTGACCCAAAGACTACAAGCTTTGATTTCAACCTTTGGTTCAAAAAGGTGACTGGTTCTAATCTTGGATGATGTCCTAATTCACTTATCTTTGTCAGCTTATTGGCTGTTCAGTTTTCTTTGATCAAATTACTTATTAGTCTCAAGGATTTTGCTGATTAAAGACAACCGTTAGAAATCTTCTACCTGTATTTAAAAATGGGGGTATACCAACTTTTGGCATAATACCTCAACACCTTCAAGGCATATCCTGATTGTTCAGTTTAATGTCTAAAAGTAATTGTTTTGAGTGCAAGCTTTCCTTCTATCCCTTTTGTTTTAGCTCATGGGTCAATCCTAAGTCTACTGAAGTTATCTATTTAATGGGGTTTTCTTATTTCTTTTTACACCATTTCTGTGGTTGACTGCAGACTTTGTATGGAAGGATAATTAAAACTGTCCTCAGGCAGGATGGACAACATTATAGTTCCACCAGTCAAAAGAAGCCACTTTTTTCTGTCTTGGATTCTTCTCTGACGTTCCAAGTACTATATAGGACTGATTCAAGTCCTTAATATTTTTCAGTCTGAAAAAAAAAAGTGATGGTTGATGCTCTTCAGGGAAGAGGGCGAAGGAATGTTCTGATGCCTTGGATATCCTGTTCACTGTAGTGAATTAGTTTTGTATTTCACAAATGTATGCACATCTTCAGATAAAATTGCTGGGGCTCCTTTGCATGCAAAACACTTTTTCTGGAACAGGATGAAGAAATGCTTGAATATTTTCAACAATACAAAAAATATTGATACCATTCGTTTGAAAATACACCAAAAATAGAAAACTAAGTGGTCCTAAATGATGATTAACTTTAAATTGAAAAAAAAATCCAGTTAGAAGGAAAATGCATTTACTTTAGGGTCAACGATATCAGTATGTAGGTCTGGATCTAAGCAACTTTCACAGGATATCAGCAGAGTATTGGGACTAAATCTAACCCTTTACAAGTTTCTGCCTCAATTCTTATTTCCCATTTAATTACATCTTTCCCAGAACCTTTTCCAATAACTATAAAGAAAAATATTCCAATACTTGAGGCATGAGAAGTCATTCTATCCAAAGCTAATAATGCAAAGGAACAGTTTATCCAAAATCAATTAGAAATTGGAGAAATGGTATATAAATGGATGAAAAGATAAAGGGTCAAGCTAATAACATTTTGTAGTTTGCAAACTGATAAATCATTAGTAACCCATTCTGCATCCTTTTCATTATCCAAAATAATAACCTTAAATTGTTGTTCAAGTTAGACAGACCTGAAAGATCTCAAAGCTAAAACTTTTCTAAACAACAAAATGAATATTTAGAAGTGAAAATCATAATAATGAATATTCAGCATCGACTTCAAAAGGGAAAATCTTGCTCGACTAATCCTGAATGTCTACTGTCTCTGTTACCTCCTCAAAGCAATGTAGTAGATGTAATTTATCTGGATTTTCAAGATAAGGTTATCCTTAACAATTTAATGAATAAAGGTTAGAGAACAAGGGGTCAGAGAAAAAGGGGCAAATGGACAGCTAGCTGGCTTCAGGACAGAAATCACAGTGGAATAAAGGTTGAAGAAATTCAGAGTGGCAGAAGGTGGGAAGTGATGTTCCATAGGGATGACTGCTGTTAACAATTGACATTAATGATTTGGACTTTAGAAACAAAGACAATTTGAAAATCTGCAGATGACAGGTATAGATACTTGGAAGCGATGGTGGTGAAAATCATCGACTCGGAGCAGATTGCAACGAATAGGAGGACATTAACAAACTTGCAGAAAGGGCAAATAATTGGCAAATAAAGATAAATGTTAGGTGCAACATCTTGTCAGGAAGGATAGGGAACTGACTTATTAATTGACAGGTGCAAGTCTAGGTGGGGAAAAGGACTAAAATGATCAAAAGTATAAATTCAACCATCATTAAAAAGCAGCACACAAGTTAGTAAGCTCATAAAAGCAAAACTAAGCATTTGTATTTTTTTTCTAGACGAACAGAATGGAAATGTAAGGGAGTTATGCTAAAGCTGTATTGAAATTTGGTTAGACTATTTAGTGACCTGCATGCCATTCTGGTTAGCATACTAGAAAAACTAATGAAGGGAACTGAGAGAATGCAGACAAGATTTATAAAAGATGACACTAGAAATGTACGGGTACATATCAGCAAAGGACTAGCAGATTGAGTCTCTTTTCTCTTGGGAAAAGAGGAAAACTGAGGGATGATCTTGTACATCTGAACTCCGCAGAAACATATTTCTCAAAAATTTTTAACAAACTAGAAATTAGAATGCTGGGCAAATTCTCTTCACTCTTGTACCGAATTACTCCCTTCATGCCCTACATGTTGGTTCTTTGAACAATTTAAAATGCAGTGCAATTAAATCAATGCAGGCTAAATTCTCATATTAGTTACATTGAACATCTCTTGGACTTGTAAATATTTCTCCACAAGATGGGTTCATTGTTTAGTACAATGGATGAACCTGTGACAGTTCCTTCACTTAACCTCCACAGATGGTTTTGCTGTTGAACATGAATACAGGCAAGGTCAAGGATGAGATTAGGCTATTCAACCCCTAAAGAGGTGCCCCTCTAAATTTCATTAACTCTCATCACAGCACTCAATTGCATCTTGAACAACAAAGCTTTTGTTTTTTTTATATTCATTGGAAGACTTTTGTAAATACTCAAAACTGGAAAAACTATTCCTGATCAGTTTTAAATTCACACCTGTCTTATTTCTTTTTGTGCACTTTGAAGTGCTAATCTTGGTTGGTTCTGTTCACACTGCCTCAATACTGTGCATATTAATTACTAAAGAAAGTTAAATTATTTTGACTGAAATGAAAGCATTGCAAAGTATACAAGTAGAAATTCATGCAAATTAAATTCTTATTAAATAATCTAAATATTACTCCTGGATTTCCCTTTCAGATACTGATTAATATGCATTTAGAAATTAAATATAATTGGCTGATGAACTGCTTTTGCTAATTTAAAACAATTTATGTGACATACTAACATCACTAATTTGGTATGAAACTGATGTATTCAGATAGAAAGAGACCAGTGAATAAAATTCTTCTAACCATCAGGCTGATATACTACTAAGAAAATTTGTTTTCTAGCCTCCAGTTTACAGTCTAATTTTTTTTTTTAAGAAGGTCCGTCTTTATTCCTGACAGTTGCTTAAACAACAACCTGGCGCTACAAAATTCAGTGGCCACTGAAGTTCGTGAAAGAAGTTGAAAGGTTTTATCTTTCAGAACATGATGCTGCAATCATTTCCTCTTAATCTACAAATACACACACTGATTACATTTTTAAGAAGTTAGGAAAATGAATTTAACACGTAGATGTTTTAGGAACCTATTTACTACACCATACCAATAAATTCAGATACTTGTTCCACTTGTTATGTAATAGAATTGCCAAGCAATCCAGTATGACAGACTGATGTCAGGAATGGAATAGGGTTGTCGGATAGACAATGTGCAGATTTTAAAGGTAAGAAAATACATTACTCAAAACGCAGTTAAACAGCTAAAATGCTAATCACAAACATCTTTTTGGTATACACTTCCTTTTATCATTTCTTCCTCATCTATGCGCTTACTTAACAAAGTTTCTGGTTTGCATTGGTCAGACGTTTGCATTGTGTGACTATCCAAATGCTGTCAAAACTCAATCAACCAGTACAATTAATATTAACATATATTGTTTCTGTTGCGCATGCACTTTTGATCTGAATCCAAACTCTATGAATCATTTGTAGAGAAGAAGCCAATAAGTGCAAAAGAAACACATACCAAAAACATGCTTGTTATTGGAAATATAGCAATTAAGCTGAATTTTGAGTGGAAGTTACATGTTGTGTTTTCCTGCCTTAAAACCTGAATGTTGTTTATCTGGTTACTCTGACCACTGACTCATCTTTGGGGAAGGCAAATGGTAGAGGATTGGGGATGAGGGTGGGGTGGAGATGATGCATATCATCATAGCATGACATAGTTTACAGCATAAACTCAGAGATCATAAGTTACAATGAAAATAATTAACAGTGCGCACACAGATGCAATTTTTTGAATATGTTATCAACATTAGTCTCAATTCTGGGAGAAACGATAAAGCAGATTATTTCCCCCAAATTTACTTATATTTCCACTATCGGACACCATCAGGAGCTAACTGACAGAACCCACTCCACTGGACTGTACTTCCTAGATAATTTAGTGACATGTACAATAGTCATATTGGATTCTTTCCTTCTCTCTCTCCGTATTCCTCATCCCAACATTACTCTTGTAAAGTTGGAAGAGAAAAATAGCAAATGGAGAACTGATACTGAAGAAATGTAATTCATGCATAACAGTTTCCTTGACAACGATTCCACCTTC